AAAACCCAGGTCCCATCACCCTCTCTAGCCTGTCTGTTCCCCACGGCAGCCCCTGGTCCTGTGAAAACCCAGGTCCCATCACCCTCTCTAGCCTGCCTGTTCCCCACACGGCAGCCCATGGTCCTGTGAAAACCCAGGTCCCATCACCCTCTCTAGCCTGTCTGTTCTCCACACGGCAGCCCCTGGTCCTGTGAAAACCCGGGTCCTGTCATCTTCTCTGCAGAATCAGGCTCTGGCTGCCTGTTGCTCAGGGTGCCGTGTCACCTCCCGCTCTGCCAGGGGAGCTCTGGCCCACAGAGCATGCTGTTCCTTGAGCATAGCCTGGGGTCCTGCCCAGGGTCTCTGTGACCAGGCCTGGAGGGCTCCTCCCCAGACACCTGCTTGGCCTCCCGGCGGCTCACATGGTGTCCTGGCACCAAGTCCCCCCTGCCCTCCCCACTGGGTGTCTGTGCCACCCCACGGCCCAGCACACACTCTACTGTTCACTCATTTTGTGTCTTGTCTGCATCCTTCTACAAAAACATGACTCTGTGCAAACAGGGAGCTCTTTGGTCCACACCTTGTCCCTTGCACCTAGCCCATGAAGGTGCTGACAAAGCACACGTCCATGAATGAGAGTCTCAGCTGCAGCCAGCCCCATGCCCAGCTCAGTGCTGCCCCTGGACCTGCTGAAAGAAGGGGTCCACAGAACAGCCTCTCTCAGAAGCCGTGGCACAGCCAGTGAACAGCAGAGCAGGCGGCCAGCACCAGCTCCAGTTCCACCACTAGACCCAGGGCTTCACCATCTCATGAGGGATCTGGGCTACCTGAAGAGAAGGACAGTCAGGATGGTGACTTATACTGCTAGGGACATCAGGTGACAAGGACAAGAAAAGAATAAACAGTCCAGCACAGTCATCTCACAGGGCTGACTGATGATGAGATGGGAGTGACGGAGGCCAGCGGTGGCACGGCACTGTGTGTGTGTGTGCGTGTGTGTGTGTGTGTGTGTGTTAAATGGCTGCTGGGCCCCCCTCTTGAGGCTGGGGGAGGTGAGCAGTGAAGGCACAGGACTAGCACAGACCAAACTCAGACGCAGGGGTGGGACAGGGCAGGGGCAGGACAGGGCAGAGCCTTGGAGGACAGACTCTGCAACTTCCCCAGGGCTGGCTCACCCTCTCCAGGCTGCACCTATCAGTGCACAGCAATCTGTTCAGGTACACCCCTTCCCAGCAGTCGCCCCGAGGAAAATCACTTGCTTCTGAAAAGAGCTCCACTTATTCAAAAGCTATCTGTCGAGCACCTAATAGGTGCCAGGTACTTGCTGAGAGGCCACGCAGGAACCCAGAGCTGAGTCGGACGCCTAGCCCTGAGGAGCAGGCAACCCACACAGCAGGTCATGCTTCTAACGGATGGAGCATGCTTTGGGAGACGATGGCACCTGAGGAAGTGTGGGTGGAGTATCCTTCGGGCAAGAGGGAGATCCGGATGAGCAGGGGAGCCCTCCAGGTCTGGCCCCACACTAGATGAGGACAGGGCTATGAGGCAGCAGTGCTGAGACTGACGGAGGCTTCATCACTGACACAGAGGCACTTCTCCTGCTTGCTTGGGTAAATGCTACCCAGCTTATTCCTATCAGTGCCTCAAGAGGCAGACCCTACTTTTGTTTAGAGTCTTCAGAAAGCCACCAACGCCTCCCTCTATCCCTTGAATGCCATGGCCTGTGCGACCAGCAGGCCGCGTCCTTCTCCACAAGGACCGCAGGCACTCACTTTTCCGTGATGCAAACTCCTCATCCGAAGGCTTCCGTTCAGGTTTGCGCTTGGGCAGCAGCTTTTTCATGGTCTTGGGACTCTTACTAAGATCCTAGGGAAATAGAAAAGAAAATGCTGACATACTCCAATCATTTCCACTCGCGAATCAGAAAGGCCGCTGTAAAGGTATAACACTCCAATTATTACAGCACTGATAAGAGCTTCTCGCTTTTTCCTACTTTGATTTTTCTTTACCAGCTTCTGAATATTAATTTTAAAATCAATAGGGCATTTTCAGTATTAGTCACTGGCTAATATATTTTCTTCAATCTGATAAAACCCCTGGTGCCATTTGGGTCCTCTTAGTTCTGTGATTAGAAGTGTCGCCAGGAGGCAGGCTGGCGGTGGTGTGCACGGACATCCTGCACGCTCCTGAGGGAGGAGGGGCAGCCACTCCCTGGGGGAGACCCGCCCACTCCCCATACAGTTAACTGGGAAGAGGGGAGGAGGCTAAAGTTGTCATTAAATGATAAATAAGTAAAAAATAATTGCTTTTAGAAATATCTGAAGTCTCAGGGAGAAGAAAAGAGAGCAAGTGCTCAGCTGCCGGGCTCTGAGTGCGGAAGCACAGCCAAGCTCGGCCAGGGCTGCTCTGAGTGTGGAAGCACAGCCAAGCTCGGCCAGGGCTGCTCTGAGTGCGGAAGCACAGCCAAGCTCGGCCAGGGCTGCTCTGCAGGGCCCACAAGTACACAGCTCGGAGGGTGTTCAAAACAGAACGGCCCACCCCTTACCTCCTCTTCAAACAGCTTCTCAAACACGCACAAAAGACGACAGCAAAAAACAAAATGAACACAGCCAAGTCCAGCAGAGCAGGTAAGGTGTCAAGTGTCAATCATGTGTTAAATACCAGTATCAAAAAAGGCTGGTTTCTGCATCATCCCAATGACATAAACCATCACAAATGTTAACATGCGAAACCAGGACTCAGAAGCAAGCTGTGCTATGGAATGAACCAGGCTGCAACCAGAGGGAACAAAGCTGGGTTTTTTAAGTTACCTTTAAAAGTCTTTTCTTGGGAGGTAAACAATGGGTACACATGGACATGATCATGGAAATGACAGACCCTGGGGGCTCCAACAGCGGGAGGGTGATGGGGGTGAGTTCAGAAAAACTACCCATTGGGTACCATGTTTCCTCTTTAACAGGTACCCTAGAAGCCCAAACCCCAGCACCACCCAATACAGCCATGTCACAAACTCTGAATCTAAAATGACATTTAAAAAACAAAAATCTTCCTATAAAAATAAAAATTTCAAAGCTCTTAGAAATGCAGCAGCAATCTGTTCCAGAAGAAACATTTATACACGTGCTCCCTGGCTTCCCTAATTCAAAGCAAATTGAGATGAAGAGCCCTGAAGAGCCAATGCCCACCCAACACGTGCTCCAAGGACAGCTGCAGGCACAGTCAGTCACGGAGCACACAGCACACCCAATGCCCAGAGCCAGGCAGAGCGGGCGGCAAAGCGGCCTCCACGAGCCTCCGAGTCCTCCTCGCACGTTCCACAAGATCACTCTCCACACCAATGCCGTGCAGTGCTCGGCAACACTAGACAGCAGCTACCTGGTGTGAGCCCTTCTCTCCCAGCATGGAGCTGGCAAAGCAAGTGCAGCCAGATTTGGCAAAACCAAATTGTTTATCTTCACTTCAATACCCCTTCCCTTGCCCTTTCTACTTCTTTGCCCAACAGTTTTATCCCAATCTTCTCTAGTAATTCAATCTCCACCAGTTCTTACAATAGTTCCCTTTTTCTTTAGACTGTGTATACAAGGAACACCAGCATTCTTCAAGTAACTTCCCTTGATAGAAAAAATTCTGACTTGCACACATGACTACCTGCAAGGGATCATAAAAACGCAGCTCAGTAAGAACAAAAAGTGAAAAGCACTGATCATAAGTTCTCACACAGTACTTTTCTATGGACCTTAAAGCCCTCAAGGCTGCTGGCAAGAATGTAGAAAAGGTCTTCTCCAGCTCCCCTGGCAAATGTGGCCTTGATCAGACACAGAGGCACAATGCCAGGCAAGAGTGCATCACCCTCACGCTCACACCCACCAATGACACTGCTGCTCACATTCACAGGCACGATACCCTTACCCTTGCAGCCACACACATGCCCAACTCACAGCCATTCCTTATACCTCACCAATGAACACACTCAACTGCTTATGAAAACAAGACTCATCTCAATTATCAGCTTCCTCAGGTGAAAATACTTCTCAGAACACACTCCTCAAGACACTTCCTTTCCTCATCCAAGCTGGTTTAGGTAAAAGTGTAAGAACGTGTTAATACTTATGTTTATTAATTACAATTGTACTTTGCACCTAGCAAATAAAAAATGCTGCATCAGAAGGGAGATGAGCAAAGACTGCATCATGATTTCTTACACATCAAAGCAGGGAACTGCCTTAAGTAATTGTTTTCTCATTTGTATCAGTAAGTGTTCTCTTCCTCTCAAATGGTACTGGGTGACAGAACAGCAGGGCTCCCAGACAGGATCCCCAACCTAGAGGAGGGGTCATTAGACACAACAGACAGCATGCAGGTGCAGAGTGGCGGCCTCACGCACGGGGAGGGAAAGCCACCTAGGAATCAGCCCCTTTCCAGCTCCTGGCCCCCAGGGGTATAGTACTCTGGCAAGCACAGGAAAGGCCCCTCTGTGCATGGCACAGGAAGAAGGGGACGCTGCACACACTCTTCCCGCACAGGGTAATCACGGGTTTCAAAGCAGCAGAGCAGATACCCAGGGAACCGAGACAGGAGGGGGCGCTACACAACCTTCCCACACAGGGTAACCATGGGCCTCCCAGCAGCAGAGCAGATAACCAGGGAACCCAGGCAGACCCCCCCCTTCTCCATTCTCTAGGAGTCGGGGTGCATTTTGCTGTGTACCGAACGACCAGCCTGGCACCCCTGGGGCCCGAGGCATGCTCACCGTTGTCTGGCTGTTTGAGTGGTCAAGGGACCTCACCTCCTTGTAGCAGAGAGCAGCTGAGGGCCGGAGGGGAGGCGCAGGCCGCAGGCAGCTCAGGCTCCAAGGTTTGGGTGTTTTCGGAGGCTCCAGGGGTCCCCAGTTGATGGTGGTGTGCGGGGTGCCATGGTGGGATGGGTGGGGGAGCGTGTGGTAGGCAGGCGTCAGCGGCGCGGGCTTGCTGTCTGCGTGCTTGCTGGACGGAGTCACCGGGTGGGAGGGGAGCTGCCGAAGCACAGAGCGGGAAGGGCAGAGAGAACCTGAAACTCGCGTGCTCACTGTGAAAGGGTGGTTACCACGCACTTCCTTCCATTCTTAAACACTCCGTGCGAAATAAACCCCAGGATTTATCATTTCGTTTGAATCTCTGACTCTCAGCAGTCAGGTTTTGGGGCCAGACACCACCTTGCACCACCTGGGCTGAGCGTGGAGCTCCCCATGGAGTCTGCTCCAGGCAGGAGGGGCAGCTCAAGCTGGGGCCCCACCGCTCGAGCATCGACTAGCCACATTAATTGGCTATGCAGTAACATTTATTAATAGAAAAAAGCTACTTCATCTAGTACAAAGATCAGAATTTTAAAAAGAACACAGGGCATGTGGCTGTAGGAAGAAAGGTGATTCTCCCCAGTCACATATTATTCTTCACCTGGTGATAAAGGGCTGCGCAAAACTAAGGCCTGACTGCCTAGTTTTTTAAAAAAAATTTTCCTGGCACACAAGCAGGCCTGTTCCTGTCTATGGCTGCTTTTCTGTTCCAAGGGCAAAGTACAGTTGCAAGAGACCTGAACCTGTATAGCAGAGAATGTTTACCATCTGGCTTTTAACTGCCAAACCCTGGTATAAAACAGGCTATTTTCTTAGAAAACTCAACTTTAATCAAATCAAAGTTAATGAAAAATTAACTTCTTAGAGGGGTGTGCTATTAATAAATTTTATATTCCTGGAAAACCCAAAATATCCCACCAAAATGGCAGTTAAATGAGAAAAGTTAAATAAAATAAGTAATTCTCACAATCAGCTAATGACCTCAAATTAGCCAATAATAGTAAGGCACGTTTAATGGGCGAATGAGCTGCACGGCGCTGTGAACTGGAAACCTGAGTGGGGTCGGCATTCTGAAGACATGCACGACATTCAAAACGCAGGCTACGAGGGCAGGCCCCACAGGAGCTGACGCATGATTTCAAGAACAGGTGCAGTCAACTTACTACGAGGATCACATTCTAGTCCCTGCATGGGGGAGGGACGTGTGGTAAGATGGAGGCCATGCTAGGAAGCCACGGCAAGGTAATCTTTCCGTAGGAAATAAAGCATAGATGGATACGGTTATGAAAGACATCCCCTCTAGCAACAACGTCAGAGATAAGTAATATCTGGTTTTGCTTCTCCTTTTCTTGAAAAAAATCAAAGGAGGTATGTATGCTTTATGCTAAAATTAGAATATGATTTCAGCTGGACAGAGTTGGATCACAGGAGAATACGTCATCCCACAAAAGAAACTTGGTGGGAGAGCTGTGAGGCAAGTGTATTCCACGCTGGAGGGATGCCTTCCCAGCCACCAGTGAAAGAAACACTAAGACAGAGGATCTGGCCACAGCGAAAAGCTGACTTGATATAAAATTTTAAGAAGTCGACTTTCAGGCTGCTGTTGAAAACCTGAGTGAAGCGGCTCATCCCCACTGTTCTTTATAAACACATGTGTACACAGACGTCCCTGGGATAAACTGATCTACATGAAAGAATGGAGAATTTTACAATGGCAGAGCCATTAAAAATGAAATGCTAGCTAAAAGCCAGTGAGTAGTTATAATCTCCATACTGTGGAGAGAAATCAGATGGACTATGAAGCTCTAATGAGAATATCAGAATACAGCAATCCTTCTTGAGCTACAACCTTAACATGAAGAATAAAACATGGAAAGTGAGCCTCAGGACAGAACTGACCCTAACAACCCAATGTGGATGCAAGGACATCTGCAGGCTGAAAATGCCGTGTCATCATAACTCATTCTTTATAAGCTCTGCCCAGCTTTTCGGTATTACTTGATAAAGGACTGTTAACCCGGTACCAACTTCTTGAGCACAGAACGCCAGGAGAGGTTTAAACACTGCAACTTCAGTGCTTATCTATTTTGAAAAGTGGTAATTCTCTAAAAATACAAAGAGTTGTTGAGCCTTTCTAAGTAAAAGATACCTCAATTTCTTAAAACCAAAACAGTGTGCCATAAATTCTATTTTAATGCCTTCAACATGAATCTGGCCTTTCTCATCATCATAATCATCTATTTTTCGCTCTCTTAAATGAAGCATAATAAACAGTTAAAATTATCAGGAAAATCATCTATAATTTCGTGTAAAACTCCCCTAAATGAGTCTTCCAGGGCCACGCTGAGCAGAAGCAGCTTCCCGCCCAAGCGCCTCTGAACTATGTGTGAGGAAGTACAACTCTGGACGGTTTCTCAAGAACACTCACTGGGAAACAATTCACTACAGCCCGAAGAGGACCAAATATTTGCAGAGAAATATGAAGCAAGTGTTTTGCCTTTTTTAAACCCAAATATTGATTAGGTTTTAAAGCACTTGATCAGTTGCTGACAGCTCAGCCACGGATGCCACCATTTGGAGTCTGGAAGGAGAAGTGCTAAGTCCTTACGGTGTGAGATGGCACCGAATGGGGCTTGATGGTGGGGTTTCCCAGAGACGTGACTTTCGTTTGCTTCTGTAGGTGGTCCACCCATTCCTGCAGATCCTGCTGGTTGTTGCAGGACACTAATATCCGCTCAATCATGCTCCCTAGAAGAGAGAAGGGAAAAAATAGGCCGAGTGGAAACACAGGTAAAAAGCGCGTGCATGCACACACACACTCCCAAATTCCACTCAACGCTTAAACACCACCTTCTGAAATATGCAAGCAAGAATGTGCACGCGGGACAAGCTGCCTCTCCTCCCCGCGACACAGCACTCACACAGCTTGTGCCTATCACCTGATATTTCAAATGCATTTCTATGATTTTCACTGTCCTCAAGCTTTGTGATTGTCATTCCTGTCGTTGGAAGCTTTCCCTAAAAAAGACCCCCCCCCACAAAAAAAAAAACAATTAGTGCGCTTTTCTAGAAAAAGGTACCATTATTAAAGTAAATATTAAATGATTTTAGAATTGGCAGAGGAACCGTTTGTGAACCAAAAGAAGCTCATATGTAGCAGATACATGCATAATACAAAAATCTTTATCTCAAATAATAAATCATAATACTGTACTGTGAGTAAGAAACTCAACTGGCGATGGGACCGAGTGCCCGAACACACACTGTATCTGACGAGCTGCTACTAAACACAGGCACCAGGACACAAAACATCACACATTATGATTTTTAAAAATTACCGTGTATAACAGACATTTTTGCAGAAAAGAAGCGTGTATTTGCCTCATAAAGAAATGCAGAGGAAGCTCCAAGTTTAAAGTCAAAATAAGGGTGGGAAATTGAGGCAGGAACAATAATTGCATAACATTCTCCTTTGTGATCCATCAAATAGAAAATAAGCAGCTGTGCTAAATGCTGCACACGATGCAGAACATGGGTGGCAACCCAGTCCTCCCTGAACACGGAAGAAATCGAAACTGCAGCAGGAGACGTCAACGGAGAGACATCAAAATGGGGAACAAAGTGGTCATTACAAACAAGGCAGAAGTGAACACAAAACCCGCGGTGCAGCTCATAGAAGCCAACGGTGCACGGTGGCCCGGCAAATCCTCAGGGAGAGTCCGTGTGTATCTGGGCCGTGCTGCCTGGGAGCACACGGTCAGCTTCGGAGCAGGATTCTGCGTGAGCACCTCCAGAGGGAGTGCTGCTCAACCGGTGTGGGGGGCGTGCCCCCCCAAAGAGAACGGGTGGCAGTGCCGCAGCCTGGCAGGGGCTCAGACGTCCAGCAAGTAAGAGGCCAGAGAGGCTGCTGATACCCTACAGTGCCCAGGACAGTCTCCCTGAGCCCCCAGCCCTAGGCCACAAATGACCCAGTCCAAAAGGTCAGCAGTGCCCAGGCGGAGAAATCCCATCCTAAAGCATAGCAGGTGGAAGAGGAGACTGCTGGACATTTCTGTGGCCAAGCGTATTTTAAAAATGCTACACACTGTGAACTCCTTTCCGAGATTCATAATGCACATAAGTACTTTAACAGCTGTGAGTCCTACAGAAAATAAAACCGCACAACTGCGTTTAACCTAGCCCATCTGAGCGTCAGTGTATAGACCACTATGACTATGGCTGGATCAAACGCTTTTTAGCATCCTCCAAAGCCAGTGTTCTAATAGTAGAAATGGATACTGATGATACAGAGACCATGGGTCACCACTGTGCTGAGAATGGAAAATAAAATCCAGTTGTTGAGATGAGGTCTCCAGCAGCCTGTCAACACAACAAGGGCAAAGCCAGTGTGACCACCAGCTTCACAGGCAGGGACTCAAGCCTGCCATGAGTGGTACCTCTTCTCCCTTAGGTTAGAGAAGGCCCCTGTCTCCAGCCAGTGAAATGAGACTCTGGGGATATAAAACAGGGAGCCAGACAGTGCTGACCAGAAAGGACAGAGATTTAGGTTTATCAAGGTCACTTAAAGTAGCTGCCAGTTTGGGGGAAAACTCTAGTGGGCACTATCTCAGCCACAGATCACCTCTCTTCAGCAGTGACCTCACAAACTACAGCCTTATTTTCCTGAGTCTGTTCCTATACATGTAATTCACCAATTCTAAAGCACCCGTTTCGGAGTAAGCATATGACAACAAGTCCTCTCTGGGAGGTCGACAAAGCCTCTGTGAAGGTACAGTGTCAACATCCCTGCTGGGACAACACAAAACAACACATGCTATAATGAAATGCAACCCAGAGAACACGAAGCAGTGACTTCCGCTGCAGTGGTTATGTGGTGGCCGGCCAGTCCTCAGAAAGGTGATGGGAAGGACATGAACCTCTGTAACGTCACAGAAAAAGAAGAATGAAAACTGCCAAGTGCATCTACTAGACACACAGAAAAAAATGCCAGCTCCTTCATCTATCACCCACTATAAACCACTGTCGCAACAGAAAAGGCCTTGCTCGCCCTCGCACCTCCTTCTCAAATCCGCTCTCACGTTTTCTCAAAGAAAAGCGGGGAAACAAAAATGAGAACGGTTAAATGATCACACATGCTACTTACATCACTTCCTAATTGCTGATGCATTTGGGCAGCACTGTGGCACTGACAGAAGATCTTAGCCTACACTACCCCACAAGCCCTAGCTGAACCCATTTTACAGAACAAAACTACAGCTGGGAGGAGCAAGGTACTCTGCCTGAAATGACATAAGGAAGTGACAGAGACTGGCTTCTGCCACAGCAGTCTGTGTCCTTACGAGGTTGCTCTACAGATTCACACTTCTTTCCTTTTTTTAAATTAACATAGGATGAGCTTGCATAGTTACAAAACACACAGAGGCTGTACTTCCATCTCTGAATACACAGCACATACACAGATAAATGTTAATATTTAACACAAAATCCAAAGCCAGCCTGAAATTACCCTCAGATCCACAATACACAACAAAATATAAATTTAAATTGTGTTTTACCTGATATATAAAGCCACTCATCCTAGGACTGGCAGACAACATTAGCAAAACATTGGGGAAGAGTAGAAGATATCTTTCATTCTTTTCCTACAAAAAAAAAAAAAAAAAAAATCCAAAAAATTTCTTAAAAAACATCTACTTACAAATGTGAGCACAAATACTTATTTATACTGGGCCCTATGAAATATTACATGAATTTCTTATTTAGGTATTTCTATCAAATTTTATCAGGTAAATTAAATGAAAACAAAATTATGATAAATTCTGTACTAAGTCTTAAAATATGATTAAGAGAACTTTAACATATAAGAGAAAGATTTCTAAATTCTTCAAAAACCAAAAGGTAAGAAAGTAAACGGAATGATTAAAAGACCCTGGACTCACAATTAGCCTGTGTAACATCTTGAAAAAATATTTAGTTAAGGAGTTCAGCTCTGTGATTAACCATTTTCAGGTAAGCTAAAATTTTCTTTTTGTGGTTCAGAGAAAAAGGAGAGAACCTAAAATTTTAGTAGGGTCAGGGGCAATAGGTGGAGTCTTTAAGCTAAAGAAAGGATATGGTAAAATGTTAAAATCAATTTTGGTCTACTAATAATCCCTGGAACTTCCCCAATCCTCCCAAATGTTAACTCAGTGTTGTTTTCACCCACCCCATAAACTTCACCTGGTTTACAACAAACACTTCAAAGTATTACTTTTGTATTAAAAATCATTTGCTTCAGTAAGATAAAAGCCAAAGACCATTAAGTGTAAGATAAAAGTTCCTAAGAATCCAAAATCAGACACAGAAATGCCAGACAGTCCTTTTCACATGTTGACATTTAAACTACTGCCCCAAAAAGTGAAATAGGCCCTAGGAAGCAGCTTCCCCGATTATATTCCTCAGGACAGCAGGCCTATGCAAAGCACCTGGAAAAGACTCTTCCACACTTGAAAGAGGTCACTGGGAGTGACTTGCTATATTCCCCTCTTGAAGAGTCACAGCATACACTGGGAACACACAGAGCCAAGTCTGAGGAGCTCTGTCATCAAGAATCTTTACCACTGACTACGTTCAGTCATGATCAGGACCACTCTGAAGCATTCTGGAGTAACACCCACCAATGCTATGTAGATCTAATATTACAAACACACTTTGGGTAATGTTTCCACAGATTATTTTAAAGTTTAAAAGAGCATGATTAAAAAAGAAACTGCTTCTAAAAAGATCTGAGGTTTATACGATCAGTTTCTTAAGGCACCCAAACTACAAGACTACGTAGAAGGGCTGGTATTTCATAAGTGGACAGGAAAACACACTGTAAAAGTTTTAGGTTTTAGTTTTCTTATTCTCCTTAGAGTCTTGTGTTCAAAAAGGAGTCATTTAGCATGTTATGATCATGTGATTTTTGCAAAAGTAGAATAAAATTCAGAGGTCCCTGTTTAGTGACCCACTGAACGTACGTCTATGTGAATCATGAAACAAACTGATTTTCAGTGTGTGGGTGGGTATGTCACAAAATCTGGGTTGATCTCTCACTTAAACCCATAAACTGTAACTCCCACAGCATATGTCAGCTAACATTCTTTCACAGGAAAGTAGAATGACCCAACCATTGAGAGAGCTGGCCCCTGAGAGTGAGAGCCTTGGGACGAAGTTGTTGGCCAGAAAAGCACATGCAGCTCCAGTGCAGATGTATGTACAGGCCTCCTGCAAGTCTTTCTGTACATTATCCTTCCGTCCACACGGGCTTTGGGCCACACTCATCTCAGCTGGATCTAACTGGTCAACAAGTCCACACTTAGCTCTAAGCCTCTCTAACATGCCATAAGCCTCTTTCATGTGTCAAAAATAAAAAGTAGCTCACAAATTATAAGATAGAGCTTCTATCAGAAGTTTTCATTGCTTGAGATTTCTTTAAAATCTTCTGCTACGAGACCCTACGAGTGGGACAGAAACCCTGCCACGTGTGCGTGTGGATGGCAGTACCTCACTTCCTGCACACTGAATCAGGACCTGGGACATGTAAGTGACGTTGCCCAGAGTTTTAATGTCATCGCCCTCCCAGTTCCGGATGGCTTCCGTCAGGATCTGCAGCTCAAGCTCTTTCCTTTTCCGGACTTCTTGACATTGGGCCTGACAGACACAGAACAACACTGTTAAAAGACAAACTTCCAGAATCTTAAGTTCTGGCCACACTGCTTTGTATCATCCTTAAGACAATTATTGCTTTATATCTTACTTCTTCAGGTAGATCATCTATTGAACAATTTGCTTAATTACATGGAATTGAAAGTATTTGCTTAAAAGTATGAAATCAAGTCAAGAGAGGCAACGCACATAACTGCTCTGGAATACTAAGTATTAGTTTAGAAAAACTGTAGCAGATTTTGACACTTGTATGAAGAAGAAATGTGGACAAGAATTGTCTTCCCATTCTGGTTTTGTTAGTGTTTGCCAATACAGAAGACTGAAAAGAGGAAACAAAAAGTATAGCTCGTGCTATAAAATAAGGCATATACTTCAAAACCGCAGTTGGTAAGACAACACAACAGCAGAGACAACGGAACCACCGCTGTTCTCTTTCGCAGTAAATCACTAAATACAACATGAATGGAGGGTAAAAAAAATGTTTTAAGTAATTTTAAAGTAGATCTAACATCAATTATACTGCACTTTTTAAAAATTTAAATAATTATTCTACCACAGTCCACTAAAAGGAGTTTACCAGCCACAGAATGCCGACTCTGTTTTTCTTTCATGTCAGTACAAGACATTTTTTAATCATTTGACTTTTTCAGTTGACAGTTCTTTTATATTCATTTTCCACAATAATGTCTGGGGGGAAAAACAATATGCTTAATCACTTACTGAAAGGTTTTTGAAGGCAGCCATAGATTTTTGAATATCTTGTCTATCTATATGATAATCCTTTGAGTAAAAGAAACATACAATTAGCTTTCACAAGGAAAATATTTTCTTAAAAAGGTACTTTCTAAAGACCAGCTTGAAACTTTTCTAATACTTTTCAACCCTTCACATTCCCTCTTTTCCCTCAGCATTAAAGTGTCAGTCTTTCAGAAAGTCATAAAGCCATTGGACTTAGGGGAAATATAAGTTGGAACAGAATAGTCACAAGCAGCAGGGGTGGGCAAGCCAATACTGGCTTCATCATTAAGTCTCCCTGGAACACCGCTCCGGCCGACATGCAGTATTCTAGCTGCTTCTGCACTAAAACAGCAGAGCTGTGGAGCTGTGATGAAGACCTTAGAGTCTGCCCCCTTATGGAAAAGGTTTGCCAACCCAAGCCAAGAGAGTAACTTTTACCCAAATGTCTGCTAGGCTGCAACCTGTTACTCAAAATTAAAAGAGCATAATCATTCATTAAATGATTAGTACAGCATTACCCTATAACTTAGGCACATATTGTCTGTAGCTGGATGATCCAAGTAAGACATCTTAACACTATCTGAAAATCAGTTCTCATGTTTCAGCTTTTGGAAACTTTTCCATCAGCAGCAGTGGGTAAAAGAGATAAGGGGTAAATGTTTTTTAACAGAGCTGAGTAATGAGACAAACATAATATTTAACAAAATCATTTTGACAATCCACTGAGTTAAAACTCCGTAAACTCCATTAGTTCTGGCTTCTTTCACAGGAAGTCTGAGCAGGCACTAATCGTTGGTAAGGACTCTGAGGAAGGGAATGACAGCGCAGTACCTCCATGTGTCTCTCCAGCTCTTTGAGCAGCGTAGGGTATTTATCCAGGCGCATGAAGGGTTTGCTCAGGCCTGTGGTCAGCACAAGAATCCCAGGGCTGCTGGCACCTTTGGTCTCCATGAACTCTCCCAACTCCTCACTGGGCAGCAAGTGGCAAGAGAGAAGATGTTGTGGTTAGTAATGAGAGACCATGGTGGCCCTCTGATCTCCATGAGCAACAGCCAGGATTTATGCAACATGAATGCTGCTTTTAACATCGGGAAGGCTCCAGCTTTTATCCCAAATCTGCACTGCTTATCTGGAAATGCCAAATAGGACTCCCACCACCCGAGGGGTCCCACTGCTGCTCTCCTATGAGCAACAGTAACTGTGCACAGCATAGGATGTGTGGGTCTCCACGAGATGCTTCCGATGGCGAGGCCCTCCGGCACTTCAGTGCCATGCAGACGTGTTCCATGGAAACGTGCACGCTCAGAGCCACAATAGATTCCAATCATCTCAGTCTCAAGGTGGTAAGAACAAGGACCGAGCTGCTCCAGCCAAGAGCTAGAGCACGCTGATGGTGGTCACCCCCAGATGTGGCTTCATCCAGCAAACAGGCCCCACCTACGTGCTGCCAGCACTCAGCCGGGAGTAGGCAACGGCTCTTGGGCGGCTCTTGGGGTGAGGAGTGAGAGAAGCAGCAAGAGAAGAGAGCAAACGCTGTGTTAGGTTTCAGAACTTCAAAAGCTTTGTTACATTTAACCCTCACAATACGTGAGGAAGGAAGGTGTCCCTGTGTACAGATAGCGAATGCGGGTTTATGCTTCAGAACTTCAGAAGCGGTTACAGCCATCCCCCACAACACATGAGGAACGACGGTGTCCCTGTGTGCAGACGAGGAAACCGACTGCATATCTCAAAATTAAAGGGTGAGAAACAAGCTGTAGATCTTCCTATCGTCCTCTTTCAGCATCCCCTTTGAGGTGCTTCGCCTAGCTTTCCCTATAGCAGGTCCTCATGCGTTCCCACAGCTGTGGCAGAGGACACAGGCCAATGGGTGGTCCAGCTCTTCACCCACATGTCTGTTATGGCTGACAGTCACCTGACGGCGACGCCCCTTCCCTGGCGACCTCTGAGGCCTCTGCCAGGCCCTGGGTCTGCTGTCCCTCACGCTGCATGTGCTATCAGTCCACACATCTCACAGCATGCAGCCCACAGAAAGGAGGGGAGGCAGCACCAGTGCCGGCAGCCAATGCCACATCCGGAGACCCCGGCGACCCCTTCATCACCACACCTGTCCTAGGAGACCCGGGGTCTCTAGTCAGCAGAGCTGACTAGAGGATACCCATGGCACTCATCCCAGGAACAACTTTTCCTAGTCTAGAGGTTTTCCCTTAGAAGGAAGAGATACTTATATCCTTATTTTATAAACAATGTCCTAAAATAAATGTGAAAATCATAACAGCAAAACTGAGAAACAGCCAATTTCCAGTTCTGGTCTCACAGGAGCCTCCCACTGCACCACCCGAGCCACGCTGCCCACTGCCAGAGGTCTGGGGGACACCAGACCCACCAAAGGCTCCCGGTGAAAAGACAGACAGTGTTTAGGCCAACCCAGAGGACACCGAGTCCACAAACGGTGAATGTTAACAGTCTCGGACAGTTCAACCTAAGCACGGCTTTAGGATGCATGGGTCTCCACAAGGGAGTTCACCCTAAACACAGCTTTAGGATATGTGGGTCTCCAGCAGCTCACACCTGTAATCCTAGCACTGAAGGGGACAGACTGCCTGAGCTCAGGACCTCGAGACCAGCCTGGGCAACATGGCGAAACCTCGTCTCTACTAAAATACAAATAAACATTAGCCGGGTGTGATGGTATGCAGCTGTAGTCTCAGCTATTCGGGAAGCTGAAGTAGGAGAAGTGCTTGAACCCAGGAGGCAGAGGTTGCAGTGAGCCAAGATCTTGCTACTGCACTCCAGCCTGGGCAACAGAGTGAGACTCCGTCTCTGTAAAAATTAAAAAAAAAAAATTAAGACGATAAACACTTTCACAACTCCATATATAAGGCTTTATAATTATTTTATTTCTGTAAGGTAGCCCATCATGCTGATGCAGTTTTAAAAATCAGTAGCACAGAAACTGTCAGAGTACTTGAGAGAGAGAGTGTACTAGAGAGAGAGAGAGTGTAGGAGAGTGTGTGTATGAGAGAGTATATATGAGAGAGTGTATGAGTGTGTATGAGAGAGTGTGTGTATGAGAGTGTATGAATGTGTGTATATGAAAGTGTGTGTATGAGTGTATGAGACTGTATGAGTGTATATGTGTATGAGTGTATGAGAGTGTATGAGTGTGTATGAGTGTGTGTGTGTGTATGAGTGTGTATGAGTGTGTGTGTATGAGTGTATGTGTGTATGAGTGTATGTGTGTATGAGAATGAGTATGAGTGTATGAGTGTGTATGTGTATGTGTATGAGTGTGTACGTGTGTAAGAGTGTGTGAGAGTGTATGAGTGTGTATGAGAGTGTATGAGTGTGTATGAGAGTGTGTATGAGAGAGTGTGTATGAGAGAGAGAGTGTATAAGAGAGAATGTATGAGAGAGAGAGAGAGTGTGTATGAGAGACAGAGAGAGTATGAGAGAGAGAGCACGCACATGCGGGCATGTGAGGGAGAGCACACGCACCCAAGAGAGCAAGTGCACTTTTGTGGACAAGAGACAACTCAGCACCTTTTGTCTGTAACTTAGTGCTTTTCCAAAATCAATTCCTTGAGGAATTCCCAAGCTTGGGCTGACTGGCATCAAGCGCAGTGCCGTCTTCAGGGCCCCGCTGTGGGTAACACCTGCGCAGCAAGTGTCCTGATCAGCATGCAGGATACACTGACGTGAGCCCATGAGCACACTGCACATGTTCCTGTCGTTTCTAAACATGGACACATCATCTGCCTTCTTTCCTTAGCGTCCCCCTTCCCCCGGGAGGTGGGTGGGGAACTGAGGAGGGTCCGGGACAGACTCCCCTCCACTGCAGCCACTACAGCCATTGTCCCCTGCCCTCTTCTCAGCTGGGACAACACTGAGCACTGCGGACAGCAGGAGAACAAGGACAGAGGGGCGGTCACAGGAGCGCTCGCCATGCCGGGCACTAGAACAAGCACTCATAGATGTCAATGCCCCAAACATCTCTGGGCAGGGCAGACATAAAATTATGTAAGTGATACAAAGGACAGCCTGCACATAGGCCTCTGCCCAAGCCATCACTGTCAGTGGAACAGCTGACGTTCTGCACCCAAGGTGGACCCCCGCTGTGTGGGTGGCATGCCCAGTCCCTCTGACCCTGGGCAGCCTGTTCCTCACACACGCGTCCCTCCCCTCCACCCAATTTTTACTCAAAACAGCTCCTTTCTTCCCATCACTCACTATCCATTCCTAAAGCACAAATAGAGTAACATAGGGCTTTAGACAGAAGCAATTTATATTTTACTAACAATTCTCTAGGTGTTGGAGAATTTATCAGGCAGTCCCATGAAAATCCAACTTTATGACATATATCTCAACTCCTTTAAATGTAATTCACATAAGGGCCTTTTCTACCAAAACAGTAATCAAGGAAAAATCCATTCAAATCATTATTTGTGTTTCAGGGTTACCTGTGAAATTTCCTAACTATGGTACAGCAGAGAAAAACTGACAAAACTAAACAGAGTTACCCTCATCACCATGGGCCTCGAAAAAAGCCCTGAAGCCAAAAAAGTGAAATGTGTGCAAGCAATACTAACTTCTTTTAATATCCACAAGACACTATTACAATGCTGGCACAAATACAGTTAAAAAAGGAAATAGAATTTCATAAATTTTTGTGGATCGCTTTTGCTTCAGTTTGAAGTTAAAAAAAAAAAAATTAGTGCCATAATAAAATGAAACAGCTAGTTACGGCTACTCTGACCAAAGATGGCTCTTTCAGCCTCACTCTGCTGATGCCAGCAGCCCGTGCACAGTGGGTCTCCTGGGTCCTTACTGACGCAGCGCCGTGGGCTGCCGGCAGCCACAAAACACATGAAATCATGGGGCCAATCACAAAGGAACAAACTGCTGGGAAAAAAATCGTTTTCACAGACTAAATTACAACACCCATAGTTCATTCAAAATAGCCGGGCACAGACAAGCACCTCCTCCAACACAGGACACCAAGGAAGGTCAAAGCTGCTAAAATGCTGGGAGATGGCATTCTGCACCCACCGGGCTCACACTTAGAACTTAAACCCAAGCAATGTAAGGACTGTGAGGATGCAAATCAGACTTTCAAATTTCAACCCACTACACTTCAACCAATCCTTAAAAATGACTCAAAACAGCATGAGCAGATATGCGCCCACAGGCATGGCAGCTTAAAGACCTTCACGCATGTGGAAAGGCCGGCAAGAGGGACAAGTAAGAATCAAAGCACAGAGGCAGGAAGTAGGAAAGAGCCTTGGCACAGGGAGGCGTGACCCCAATTCACTGCCCTGGCCTTTGGGGCGGGGAGGGATCTGTGGCCAACAGAGCAGGAGTTCTCAGGGTGCAAGGACCTCAGGAGGGCACGCAAGCCTCACATTCCACAGTGGTGGTATCTGCTGGCTTGGGGGAACCTTCCTCTCGTTGCGGCTCTGACGGAAGCAAGTGACATGCCCTGGGGTTGCTGTCCAGAGCGGGCCTCAGCCGGCCCCTTCACTCTCTGGGCAGCCCTGGGGAGGAGGCACAAAGACCCTCCTGACTAAAACCCACCTGTATTCTTTCTTGTTACTTCAGGAAAACACTACATGTACATCTAAGACCCAACAACCACAGTCATTAACGTAATTACAGAGAAGTTAAATGCAGCTCTCGCGCACATGCACTGCTCTTGAATGCCTTGGGTTTTAGGAAACTAACAGTCTCAGTGACTTTCAATGTCATCTGTAGGACAGCTCGATTTTGGGAGGAAAATACTGAGTTAAGACTCTCTTCCCCCCAAAATTGTCCATCCTACCCCCTATTTACATTCCCAATCCCACCATCTAGGATCAACTCCTTTCCCCCAACAAAGGGGATGGGGAGAAAAAAATAAGGCTTTCTAATGTTACCCTCACATTCCACTTACTTTCTGTTCATCTTCCTCATCGCTCCATCAATAATTCCTGAAGAAATTCCAGAGATACAAATGTAATACTTGCACTGCACTTTTGTGGAAATCTCATTCGATGTATAAATCCCCAGGAGTGGAGTGGAGGGGAGGGGATAGCGCGTAACTGAAAGCATGCTGGGTGCTTAGAGACACTGCTGACACAGCCCACACTCCCAAGTAGGACCTCATGGAGGGAGGGGTTTTTTGGGTTCTCCTTTTCTGTGACTGCTGTGTGTTCTAACTTCCTTTCCTTTCACTGCATTGTTAAAGGCTGCTTTTTCCTTCCAGGGCTGCAGATGCTTTAATAACAAATAGGAAGTTCACAAAATCTTAATCCTTTAATATTGGAGCACGCCCAGGAAACAGTAACTATCCAGGGTCTTTTTTATTTTTTTAAACAATAGAAGACAACAAAACATCCACTGAACATGTAAGCGTGTTCACCCTGACACGATCTGCTGACAGTTTTTCTGAATGCCGACAATATCCCTGTGAATGAGTTCTTTCAGGAAAGGACGCTGAAACCCAGAGACAGGAGGAAGCCTGCCATGGCTGCACAGCCTGCAGCAGCAGTCACAGCCACAGCCAAGTCCGCTCTGCTACCAGGTCTAGTCTGTGGAAGGACACCCACGCAGGGCCAAACCTGAGCCCCGGATGTGCTTCTCAAGAGGCGAGGAACACCTGCTCACTGAAGAGGCTTTCTAAGTTCTGAGTTGAAATGTTTGATGAAGAGTAAGCTGAAGTTAAATATTTAAGTTAGAAAGACAATGGCATTTAACTTGATACTACTAAAACAATACTTTTTCCATTTATGGTTTTGAAAACGTGAACTTCTATTTGCAAAAAAAAATTATGAAATTTTTTGTAAAACATTAATATAATTCCTTGGCCTCTTTTAGAAGCAGAAAGTGAGCCTCTGAGCTCTCTAAGCCCACGTGTGGTCTCCTCCAAGCCAATCCTCAAACAAATCTATTCTTAACACTCTCTAAGGACCGAGGTCCTCCTCAATAACTGAAACAGCTGAGAAACATCTTCCTCCAATTTGCAGGAAGCAGACATTGCCGTGTCTCATAAAGCGAGCAAAACAATCTGTACAGTCTCTGTTGCACTTGTTTTTAGTTTCAGGTTGAAAAGCTAAAGCTAATGGTCTCCAATTTAATGTTCTGTATATAAAACCTGATCCTAATTTGAAATTCGATCCTTTCACAGCTGATGTAATCTGCACTCGTATACTTCCACTTTTAAGAACTGAGAGATATATGATTCCAGGACCCTTGACTAAGCTTGTGGCTACACTCCTCAACACTTACCGACTCCTTCAACCTATTAGCCAAAGGGCTCCAGGCTGTAGGGGAGACATCAAAAAAAAATCTCTTTTTACAACAATACTCACCATCATTTCAAAGACTTCTCACCAGTACTTCTCAAGCACTAATTTTGAGAGGTAATTAAAATTCATATCCTTGCACCCTATGAAGGACACAGAGCTGCCCGCCTTCCCTACTGCCCAGGAGCGTAGTGAGCGAACCTGTGCTCCGTGAGGACGTTCACTGCAGAAGGGTGATTGGCACAATATGTGAGGTACAGGGTTTTCATCTGCGGCATCAGGTTTAAAAAGCAGCCTCCGACTCTCTGCTGAGCTTCGGGCAACCTGGAGAAATGTGACATAAACGGAAATCGTCATCAGTTTTACAGACAAAAGGACAGCTGCTAATGACAAACACAGTATACCTCTGAGTGAGGAAAACTTTCCTCTGCACCCTATCTGTGAAAATGAGATGCCCCGACCCCAGCATACACGTGTTGCTGCCTTGAGTCCAGCAGAGAAGGGGCGCCCAGCAAGCAGCTCTGCTGCCAGGTCCTCTCTTGCAGCGTCCAGACTGCCAGGACTGCGCACTACATCAGGACCAACTCTCAGGCCCAAGCTCTTTGGGCAGTGAGAAAAACATGTCACAAAGCCTTCAGTTTTGCATAAAATAAGGAGAATTGCTGAATGTGGTTATTTGGTCTGCAAGTTTTCTACCAAAGTGGCATAAAGGCTAACAAAAAATACAAAAACTGCATTTCCCTTCAGGTTAGAGACTGAAAAGCGAGCCCACCTAGCAGGTGCCTCTCCTCCCTAGATCCCCACCATCCTGACAGTTAACAGGCTTTTCCAAAAAGCATAAACTCAAGAGAACAAAAATAATGAGGAAGAGATGACCAGAAGGAGCAATGGAAGCTGCAAAACAGATATGAGGGGTGGCGAGTCGGCACAAGCTACAAGCTGCAGGCATCAGGGCCCTGGGCAGTGCCACCTCAGCGGGGGGTTGTGCCTAACAGGGTACTACATGCTCACCTCTCCAGATCTCAGGGTTTCTGGGGTGAGGACACCGGCAGCAACCCGGAGCAAGGGCACGTGCAGAAAACCGGAGGCCCATGCGAACTCTTACCACCTTCCCTGCACCCCAGGGCGTCTTTGCTCCCCAGACACCCACGATATTCCCAAAAGGATTACATCCTTCTACCCAGGGAACAGGAGCCAGGAAAAAAGGGACCAAAACAGTAATGCCACGGATTCCTCCAGAAAACAAGAGTCACTAGTCCAAGCTCCTGGAGAGCACTTCCAAAGTGTTTTCAGGCATGAAAGGACCACAAACACATTTGCCTAAAAAGGGGGGGACATGAAGGAGCAAAGGAGAAAAAGGAAATTTGATAGTCATTCCACATCAGAATAAAAGTTCCTGATACAGAAAGCCAAAAACTTAAGCAGAAGTCAAAGAAATCATCACATGACTAAGCAAAAAGAGTGCAAGGCACAAGATCAAAGATGTCCAAGACGTCAGCACGGGCTGAAAGAAGACTGGGGCCCCAGACAACAGTGTGGTCATTCCGAAGCCCAGAAACAAGGATACAAAGGGCTCTGAGTGAGAAACACTGGTTTCACACCAAGAAGACAGAACAGCATGGGGCTCCTCAGTACCAGAGCCTAGAGACACTGAAGCCCCCCTTGAAATGAGGGGTGGAAATCCCTCCCCCTGTCTCCATCTCAGGCAACAGTTCACACTCACGTGGATTAACTGCCCAACATGCACTTGCTCCTCAGGAATCTCCCAGAGCAGGTACTTAACCAAAATGACAGAGGAATGCAAAAAAAGGGAAAGACGGCATCATCCAACACAAAGGTGGACGGAGCCCAGGACTAGGGTCCAGGCCTGCAACTCATGGGGACACCGCTTCTGCTCTGCCATCCCCGCAGATAAGATAAGCACGTGGCCTTGGTCCACCCCTGCTGGTAACAGAACACCTCGGACTGGGTAATGTACCAACAACAGAAATGCACTGCCCACGGCTCTGGAGGCTGGAAACCCAAGATCAAGGCAGCCGCAGGTGGTTCCCTATGCATCCTCACAGGGGCAAGGGGCAAAACAGCTCCCACACAGCTGTTACAAGGGAGCTGATCCCATTCATGAGGGCTCCATCCTCACGACCTGTCTCCAAGCCCTACCTTTTAATACCATCCAGCTGGTGACTAAGTTTTAAAGATGATCTGGGCAACACATTCAGACCACAGCACACTCTGGCTCCCAACATGCCTTTCAACCCTGCAGGCAGGACCTCAGGCCCAGCATTCCTAGTCCACCTGCCTCCCATCCAGTCTCTGGGTGTGTCTCCTCAGCATTGCTTTCCACTCTGCAGCTGCTAAGTAGTGGCTGGAGAAAGTCATCGTCAGGAGAATCAGCAAGTCACAAGTATTAGGAAAAATCTCATGTTCAAAACACAGAGTACTCAATTTATGCCAACTTGGTCTTCTCGCTGTTTTGCAACAATTTTTTATTCATTTCTTATTAACTGTTAACCGAGGCTCAAAAAGACGGTTCCAGCTCTAATCAATGTAATAAAATTTACTGAGCTGTTACCGGTACGTCCCACAGTAAGAGCTGTGGAGACAGAAAGGCACAAGGAAGTAAAGCCGTGAGAGTTCCAAACCCCACCGCCGCCGCCGCCTTCTCTCCTCCTCTCCTCAGACTCAGTCATTCCCGCTACCGTGGGCCTTCCCTTCCAGACTAGATAAATGTCAGTTTTATAAAACATGGGCTTTGGAAAAGAAATGAGAGTATACCTCTGCTTCTAAAACGCAGCAATAACGTAGTTATTGTAGTTAATGTAAATAATACAGACAACAGAAATGCAAAATATAGACAATAAAAATATCCCACACAGGTTCAGGCGGCTGATCTGTGTAAGAACATACCAAATGTAAGTGCTCCCTCCACCTACCAGTCTCTTCTCTGTGCTGGGTAAAAAAAAGACCAACACCCTCCTTCAAGATTTAACTTTCCATCTCTTTGCCTCTCTTAGCGCTCCTTTGATCTCTGTCCGAGCAAGACATGTCCCCACCCTGTGTAATGGAGGAGGCTCACAGAAGCACAACAGGTACCCGCAGGGAGAGGAAGTTCAGTGAGGTCTGCAACAGCCGGGGCCTCTCCCACAACACAAGCGGGCTAAGGGTGAGGATGCAGAAGTCCTCCTGGTGGTGGCGGTGACAAACAGACCTCTGCACAGATGAGAAGCTGCCCCACCTGCCTTCTCTGCCATGCTTCTTTGCCCTCGAATTCAATAGCTACTAGCCACCTGCAGCTATTTCAAGTAAGGTTAATTAAAATAAAAAAATGAAAGTTCAGTTCTTCAGTTGTGTTAACCTCATTTCAAGAGCTTCACGGCCCCAGTGGCTAGAGGCTACTGAAATTTGTATAGCAGATACAGCACATTTCCATCAGTGGAAGCTCTGAACAACACTAACTCATCCAAGCCATGTTTCCAAATCCTGAATGTGTCATGCATTTATTATAGAGCTTTACTGTTTAGTTTATTAAAGCACAGCTGAAGGCAAAGTAAGCTAGCATTTGCACTACTGCAGACCCATTTCCAACTGTGAACAGGTAAGTGGGGTTTTAATAGCCTTCAGGGATTAGCCACAGTTCTGTCTGCATTTGCAGGATAGTCACTGACTCACAAATTAATTTCAACTACTGTAAGTATGCAGCACCATTACAAGGCACTGGGAGCAGATTAGAAACAGGGTAAGAAACAGTCGCTTCCTTAAAGTGACTGCTATCATTTTGGGGAATATGAAACAATTACAAACGTAAACTGAATGTAAGACAATATGCAGTCTCAATGACACGAGCTACAAACTGCTGCCAGCTTACAGACACGGAAGGACCCGCCCCTTAATCCAGGTACTGAAGGCACACAGGTTTTGAGAACATTACATACTGACATCTGAGCAGGTGATGTTGATGTTCAGGGGCACAGTACAGCACTGGAAGAGGCTGGCTTCTAGGATGACAGAACACTGCGTGCCTCACTGGGAGGACTGAAGATAACTGAGTAATGATGGAAGGCCAAAGTTGGATGAACAAAAAAAGAACACAGCCAGAGATGCGGCACAGGAAAATTATCGGATACGTGTTACCTAAAATGGGTTAAATTCTTACACTGCAGAAATACTGCTCAGTGCTGGGCCACAAAGTATGCAAAGATTTCAACTCCTATCTGGTCCAGTGCCACAGCCCTGATCCATTCAGAAATGAAAATTGAGATAAACTGATTTCCATTTCTGATACTTCATCAATTATTGAAAATTAAGTCATATTTCAGTATAGCTTATAAAGGAACAATTACTTCAATGTACAAGTGTCTTTCCCTATTTCATTCACCCCACCCCCGAGCCGAGGCCCTAGATTTTTATTACCTCTTTCAGTCCCAAACCAATTCTCCAACAATTTTTTGTCACTGCCACACCCAGTTCCACGGCTGATAAAGCCCTTGTAATCATTAATTCAGTAGCAGCTGAAGCTCATAGAAGTCAGCTGAGTACCAGGACTCGAGCATAACGTGCCAACATATACCGCACGTAATGCCGCCTAGGCACCTAAATTCGCTCGACAACCAACCAGACTCACAGAAATCACCAGCACAGAATATGAGCTCAGAGTTAAAGGAGAGGATATGCGCCCTGGTTCTCTCTTGTGCTCCACAGGCTGTTCTTCAGAGTGTGATAATGTGCAGGAGGGCATCCCACGGGGGCTACATCAAGGCCATGGGCAGCAGGAAGGTGCACGTGGGTCACTAGAGGCACCACGCATCATGCCAGGTGCTTCCACCAGGCCTCCTGGCAGAAGCAAAGCCATGATTTACAGGTGTGGTGTCGCACTGTGTCCATGAATGGTCCAACATCTGATGACAGCTATAGTCACACATACTCTATTCTCTATATCTTCAGAGTAACAGCAACAGCACAAGGTAAAAGGGGGTACCCAAGGGTTTTTTTTCCCCCCTTACCCAGAATAAAGATGACTGGGTCTCAGCAAAAACATTTGAGAAATCAAAGAGATGCTAAGCAGTTTCTTCCACAACACACTTACTCCTAGTGGTACTACTAACTAGACAGGAAGGGTTCTCATTTCAATAACAAGTGATTTCGGATGGAAACTAAGATGCATATGAAGACAGAGCCACGTGCTGGGGGAACCTCCACAGACATCTCCAGCCACAAAAACCCAGCAATCTGTCCATGATCGACAGACGGCCTTCACAAACAAGGCGTCACAAGCAACCTCCTGTCCCACTCAGGGTGTAGACAGACAGACAGACAGACACACAGAC